TATTTATTATGCTAATATTCCGTGAAATATGGTAATTCAAAGAAAGTTTTTTATCAACAGTTATGCCTAGAAATGTAATGAATGAAACAGCTTCCAAGGGGGTTTCGTCAAAAATGATATTCTTTGGCAGTGTGTCAATAGAATTACTAAACAACATATGTTTGGATTTTTTGAGGTTAAGGGATAGTTTATTAGCTCTTCTTCATTGGGTGACTTTTTCAAGTTCGGAATTTACAACATTGACTAAAGTATTTGGATTTCTATGGGAATAAACTAGATTAGAATCGTCTGCAAAAAGTATAAATTAAAGGACATCGGATGATTTACAAAAGTAATTCATATAAAAAATAAACAATAAAGGGCCCAACAAACTTCCCTGCGGTTCTCCACAATTTACGTTTTGCATATTCAAGTTCAAGTTCAAGTTTATTTTTCACATGGGGTTCATAAAAAACAAATATATATACATGTTCAGACATATAAAAAATGCAAAGTAACATAAGATTAACAAACAATAATATTAAGAGAAAAAAATAGTGAACAAAATTGAATGTCCACGAACACAGAACAACTAAATACATGTAAATATTTAAAAAAAAACATGTGGGGGACCAGCAAATCCCCAGTACAATAATATATATTTTTGATATTTTATATATTTATATATTAAAATCAAAGCGACGTACAGCACATGACAAAACAAAATCAAGTTGGCAAATTAAACAGGCAAACAAAAAATTATATTGTACCATTATAAATTTACGAATTGTTTTTATGTAAAATATACAGTTTAAATTAACGTTTAAAATTAGAAAGTGACGGACTGTGCTTAATCTCTGCTGGTATTGAATTCCAACATTTATGTGAATGATGACCCTTCGTGCATCATATGAACGTGCAATCAGTAATGTTGATTTGAGTACAGTTTCTCATATTTTGTCACCTATGATTGGAGATAATGAGACTTTTGGAATAGACCAGTGTTGTTATTTGCCTGATAAACTTAATTCTACCCTTTTGAAATATTCTTTGAACTCAATATTTTTTTCCATATTACATATAAATTGTTGTGGTACCTTTGATGCTTTGTTAAATAGTCTGAATTTTCAGTTTTCTATTATGGATTAACTGAAACTTGGGTGACAGACAACTCATTAGTGTGCAATATTCAAGGTTTTAGCTTTTTACATAATATAAGAACTGAGAGGAGAGGAGGGGGTGTTGGTGTGTTCATTCGGGAAAATCTGATTATGTAATGGATTAACTGAAACTTGGCTGACAGACAACTCATTAGTGTGCAATATTTAAGGTTTTAGCTTTTTACATAATATAAGAGCTGAGAGGAGAGGAGGGGGTGTTGGTGTGTTCATTCGGGAAAATCTGATTCGTAAACATAGAGGTGATTTAGATATTAACAATGGAGGAATAGAAAGTATATTTATTGAAATAGAGAATGTATGTAATAAGAACATAATTATAGGAGTAATTTATAGGCCACCTGATCAGTATGTGCAAGATTTTTTTTATTTTAATATTAATTTTTTTAAATACCACATCTTGTCATGAAGCTAATGACTTTTTGAATATGCTGGTAAGTTTTGTTTGTATGTATCCACTTATTCATCACCCTACTCGGGTGACCGACCATTGCGTTTCTTTATTAGATAATATTATATCTTACTAATGATGTTACCAATAAATTAAATGGTGCTATTTTAGTTGATATCTCAGATCATTTTCCTGTATTTAGTGTTTGTCATCATAAGATCAAGGAAAAGAAATAAGTAATTAACAAAAGACAATTTAATGATAGTAATATTTTTGAATTCAGTAAACGGTTGCAAAATGTCAGATGGAATTGAAATTAAGTGATTGTAATGTGAGCTAAAGTTGCTTTTTGTCTAAATTTATTCGCATTTATGAAGCATGCTTTCCTTTGCAAGAAATAAATGTTAATAGACTTAAGCATAAACCATGGATAAATAAAGTATAGATGAATCAAAATTAAAAAGAATTGGAAATCGTATGAAAAGTTTTTGAAAAATTCAACTGAATATAGGAAAAGAGTTTATAAACAATACAGAAATAAAGCTACAAATGAAATTAGGAAAGCTAAATTTCAATATTTTAAGGATAAATTTAATCATGATAAGGGTGAAATTAGACTAATTTGGCTATCTCTGGAAGTTTTAATGATTTTTTTTTTTAAATATTGGTTTCAATCTGACAAACAATGTGCAATATTCCAACAGTTTCTACAATGATAATTTATTTGTTAATGACAAATCAGCATATTTTACTCCTATATCATGTAAAGAAATTATCTATATCGTTCGTTGTTTGAAGAATGGTACCAGTGCTGGTTATGATGGTAGTAATATTACTGTTGTAAAAAAATAGACATTTGATTTGTGTACCTCTTTGTTCTATTTTCAATTCATGTTCGTCAACTGGTATTTTTCCTAATCAAATGATAATAGCTAAATTTATTCCAGTTTTTAAAAGTGGTGATCGCACTAATATACAAAATAACCGACCTATTTCTGCCCTCGCTATCTTCTCTAAAAAATTGAAAAGTGTTTATATAAGCGTTTAAATACTTTCTTAACATTGTGAAATATTTTGTCTGAAAATCAACATTGTTTCCGAATGGGACATTCACAACGACTGCTCTTCTTAATTTCATTGATAAAGTTTCTAATGCGATTGCTTCTAGACAGTTTGCAATTGGTTTATTTCTTGATTTTAGTAAAGCCTTTGATACTTTCGATCGTGCAATTTTGTTACGTAAGTTGGAGGCTTATGGTATTCATGGAATTCTTTTGCAATTATTTAAAGATTACATGTAGTTATAAAATCAACAATATTCATATTTTCCCATTCGATGTGGAGTGCCCCAGGGTTCAATACTTGGTCCTTTACTTTTTTAATTTATGTTAATTTATTTAATGAATGTTGCTAAAATCAAATATATTGAATTCACTAAACGACGTATTGCACATAATTTTGCAATCACTTTTTATAATCATCAAATTAATCGTACTTCTTGTGTGAAATTTGTAGGTGTTCATATCTTTAACATGGCATGAACACGTTGGTGCCGTATGCAATCGTGTCAACAAGGCTAAATGCTCTTTTTTGTTGACCCCTCATTCGACATAAATTTGCTTTCTTAACTAATTTTTTGTAAATTTTGATTGTATTCATAATATCTGTAATGTTACCCTTCTACATGTATTTATGTATTTCATTTTTTTTTAATACTCTGTATGTAATGTATATGTTTTTTAATGAAGAATGAATACCATACCATACCATTTTACACCAGTGTACAATATTGTTGTTTGAGAAAAACTATATTTATATTTATATCGAAAGTATGATCATTCAAGAATACGTATTGTCGCCTATTGGATAAGTAGCTCCTAAACCACTCCAAGGCCTTCCCACGCACCCCATAATGAGAAAGTTTGAATAATAAGATGTCATGATTTAGGGTGTCGACGGCCTTGGAGAAGTCCAGAGAGATACCAACCCGGTAAAGAGCATTTGTCTCAAGCATGCACTACTTTACTAATTCGATAAGGCCTGTTCTGTATTATGTATTTCCCCAAAATCCAAACTGAAAGTTGGAAAATATATTATGAGTTTTTAAAAAGATTGTTTCTTTGCCTCAGGTTCTAAACATAAGTTTGGATTTAGCTCGTGCTGCAGTCATAATTATAAATCGTAAGGTCAGAAATGAATCCCCTGACTTTTACAAGCCGATCGCCTGTCTGATTACTAAGATATTTATGATTGGAATTAGAAATGTCAAAAACTGTTTGCCAAACGGTTTGTTATAACACTACAGTCTATTGGGGAAAATGAGTAATACTAAAACCGGTCACTCCAAGATTTTTACTTTTATGAAGCACTTCATGATCATTTTGAAGCGCAATATTTTTAGGGCTTCAATATTACACCATATCACATACACTAATAACCCGTAGGGCCATGCATCTAAGATTTGTAAAAATAAAAACATTGTTGAAAAAAATGTCTGTACTGCAATTCAAATATCCCTATCCATCGATCGTTTTACTTTTATCATAATGACGTATTATGTCATTCGAACAGAAATTGAAATTGTCGTTTAGTTGATTTTTTCGGAAATAGTTACGATCTTGTTGTAGATTTGCTTTTCCTTTCTCCTCACCTTTTTCTTTTACGATTCGAGGGGGGGGGGGAGAAGGTGGGGGTGTAATGATCATCATCGTTCTATCTTAGACGCAATAAAACAGAACGAGACAGATTAAAGTTAAAAACTTTCCTTATGAAGGTATTCGTTCCTTCTTTGGTGAGTGAGAAATGTATATTACGACTCGCAATAACTATTATAAGCAAACTAGAAACGAAAAAGGTGTTTTTTTGTATTATATTAATTTCCCACATGCCGCGGCATGATGCTCCTAGTTTAACACCGGGCATGGTGGCTCAGTGGTTAGAGCGCCCACCTTATGCACGGGAGGTCGTGGGTTCGAACCCCGGCCGAGTCATACCAAAGACTTATAACAATGTGACCTTCTGCCTTCTAGCTAGGCGCTCAGCATATTAGATTGGAGAAGAGTAGTAATAACATATTATGTTATGCAGGGCCCGCTGGAAGAGCAGTTTCATAACTGAAGTGGCTACCCTGGGTAAATAAAACGTTATTATTATTATTATTATCATAACAGTATAACTATGTGTATGTGTATTTGCCCGTTGTACCATCGTGAGTACAATTTCTAGATGACCTGATCTCGAAAACTTTATAAACATATCAATCAAATGCAATTTCAATAGCCTTGTGCGTCACCTATTGAAATTTGCTGACATTACAGCGACATATCACTACTTCATTCTGAACATGATTTATATCTGATAATCACTAGGCTATTCAGATTGCCTTTAAACATTATTTTTCGAAAGTATTTGCGATCTGGTTAGATGTATTCTAGAAAACTAAGCCTACTCACATGCTGAAGGTACATGATCAGGCCACCGCACATGGAAAACGAATCAAAGCTCAGCCCCTCGACCATATAGGAAACTGCAAATACGAAATCGGACATCATGAGGTTTGCGACGAAGTAGTTGGTGACGTTATGAAATGATTTCTCAATTCCGATGACCACTAGGACGACGAAAGAGAACACAGCAGCGACGGTCGAGACGGAGATCTGGATACGCTTGTACCACAAATTGAGGGCAATGAGGACATGATAGCCCGGAAAGAAGGAGTCATAGCCGCCCGGGGAAAGGGTGCTGACATTCTCAAATGCAAAGTCGCTCACGTCGCCATAATCGGCGATGAAAAGAGTGGTATTCATCTTTTCTGTTCTGCAGCTACAAGATGTATGAGAAAAATCACTGCTCGCTCGATGTTTTTAGCCAATTTTCTTTGCTTGTTTGTTTGCTTTGTTGTATTTGTTTTTATTATTATGTTTAATGGATTGATAGCGAAAGTTCATCGAAGGGTAAGCGAATTTATCTAATCCTCGTGTGATGGCGAATCGTCGTTTCGAGTCAGTGTTGAGTTGCATATATAAATATGATTAAAACCACAATGGCATTACTTTTGGGTAGAAAGAGACTCAATCACACATCGACAAAATACACCTCCCCAGTGACGCTAATGAGGCGGATGCAGGGGCACGTGCCCCAATAGGGTGATAAAAGAAGAAGAAGAAAATTAAAAATGATGTAGCGAGAACAGAGAGAAGGGTAACGGAAGACACATGCACTACCCCAATCTTCACTCCCTAATCAATTGCTTTATTAAATACATATTTCATTTTCAAAGAAGACCAATGCCCCCAATCGTTCCAGTGTCACCTTAGAGCCATTGTCACTTTAAATTTGAGATGCATGGCCTTACGTGTTATCAATGTCTGTAATATGTTATATTATTGAAGCCCTAAAGAATAAACGCGCTTCAAAATGATCAAGAAGTACATCAAAAAAGTAAAACATCTTTGAGTGACAGGCTGTACCATACTCCTTTTTCCAAATAGACTGTAGTGTTATGAAAACCGTTTGGCAAACGCAAAATTTGGTTTTGATTTCCAATCAATAACATCTTGATAATCAGTGAGGCGATCGGCTTGTAAAAGTCATGGGGTTCCTGACTGACCTAAATATTTATAATTATCATTGCAGCATAAGCTAAACCCAGGATTTCGTTTCAGAATCTGAGACAAAGTTACCGCCGGATCCGTACAAATGGATTCACGCCACGCCGAACCAACGAATGAACGAACAACAACATCAACAGCATGGACAAAACGACAACGACAACATTATCATCATTAAAATCAACACCAACGAAAACAAACAATAAAACAACAACAACAACTGCAACAACATCAGCAGCAATATTTGCATTTCATATTAATAATGACTGACATCACCAAGCGGTAGCAGTCGGTTTTGCGGTCTAACTGAGGTGTTTAACCGGCATTCACATTATGTCGGCGGAAAGTTTTTCACAGAGGAAGATTTTGAATTGCCTAAAAGGGTACATTTTGAGAGGGTAATTGTGCTTAAAAACAGAATGATTGAAACGTATTTACAGACTTACCCCCTACAAATGATGAACTTTGCCGACCTATACAATTCGGATTGTTGCATTATGTTCTGTTGTTCAAACGGAGATTACACGGTACAGTTCAGATTCTAATTATTTTCATTCAAATATTATTTTTTAGTACGTTGATTTATAGTATGAAAATAAAGGAGGGAATACAAAGGTAAATAGGAGCAATGCATTTTCTCTTAGCTTTTTAAAATTAAAGATTTAGGGTTATGACACTATGAACATGACAGACAAAGAAAGAGGACAAAATATACAGTTCCTCATTCTACCTTCAACAATTGCTGTGGTAGACAAAAGAACATCCCTTCACTGCTATTATGTCACAATGTGTAGAACAAGTGAATATGCATGTGACACCTGTTCTACACATTTTTACATAATAGCAGGGAAGAGATGATCCTTTGTCTACCTGAGGAACTGTATATTTTGTCCTCTTTCTTTGTCCGTCATTTTCATAGTGTGATAAACGTTGCTATCATTTCGTTTCAATTGGGTCGTAGATATTTTTTAAGGGTTCGAACTAGGATCAGGTTGGTTGAGGGTTGAAGTAAGTTGGAAATTCGGTAAGTGTAGGGAAATGAGCGCAAATCAATTAAGTCGGCTGCCAACAAGAAGGCAAAAATAGCTAATATGATAATGACAACAATGATAATAATAATAATATGTCTTGTTTACCTAGGTTAGCCTCATAATTATTAATACCGTTTTCTATGAGGGCCGTGCAATCACTATTTGCCCCGGCTTTAGCCGACCTAACATGAAAGGGCGCCCAAACATGCAATTTCTTCCTTTCTTCCCTTCTTGCAAACAGCAGGCAATCGATGGCGCTGGAGAATAATGCCTCAGTCACAATTTCATTTGCAACGGTAGCCGTGGGGTCTAGAATATCTACGACCAATATCAATTATAGGGCCGCCGCAGCATTCCAGAAGCCACATACTGTAGCAGTCACATATTTTCGGTTGCCAGCCGCATGGCGTGCTTTCAATTTGTGGATACAGAAAACCTACAGCCGCCGTACGGCGATATCTCAGTTGGTAGAGCAGTGGTCTCGAAATCCGGCGACCCGGTTTGATACAAAGGCGATGCGCTAGTGCCCTTTGGTAAGGCCTTAATCCTCATTACCAGGTTTCTCGGGGAGAACCTAAAGCTACTGATACGGATACTGCACTGCAATTGCACGATTTCCGTACGATGTTCGTAGATAATGTAAACACAAAAATCGTAGCCCGTAGCCGCCTACGATGCCCTAAAAATCGCACGAGAAATTGTAGACCAATTTATCGTACGGCGCCCGGGCCAAATGTAATCCAGGGATTAGCGGTCAGGTAATATAACCACCACTACTACTGCTACAACTACTACTACTACTACTACTACTTAAGTGATGCGGTCGCTCCCTGCGACGGCCTTCGGTTTTTGACTAATACCAAGACAGACGAAAGGTAGCCGCGAGGCGTCTGCAATGCAGCCGCAGAGGAACCATAACACAAACTGGTGTAATATACCTGCTTCACACACGGCGAGGACCGCCACAGTGGCCTTACGGGTGAAGTGAGGCGAGCGTACGGGAGCCTTGCATGGGCCTTGCGTTGCCCGCAGTGTGTATCACACACCGCAAGGCCACTGTACGGGCACCTTAGGACCGCCTTAATGGTGTCCATTTCATCTCCTCTATCCCCCGAATCGTAAACAAAAAGGTGAGGCGAAATGGAAAAACAATTTAAAACAAGATCAACTACTTTTGAAAAATCAACGTTTAGGGCAATTTAGATATTCCTATCCATCAATTTGTTTTTTACTTGTGCGAAAATCAGAATGACGTATTATTTACTTGGAACAGAAATAAAAATTGACCTTGAACTGATTTGTTTTCGAAAGCATTTACGATCTTGTTTTAAATTGTCTTTTCCTTTTCACTTCACCTTTTCTTTTACGATTCTTGGGGGAGTGGGGGAGATGTAATGATCATCATTATCATTCTATCTTAGGTGCAATAAAATAGAATGAGACAGAAGATTGTTCTAAACTTTCCTTATGAAGGTATTTATTCCTTCTTTAGTGAGTGAGATATTCATAGTATGCGTCACGATTACTATCAAGAGCAAACTAGATCGATAGTTTTACTCATCTTTTAATGATCATAAAAAGGTAGCTTCTTGTACTACATTCATTTCATTCACTGCGTGACGCTCCTGGAGCTCCAACAGAATTTCTTTCTGATATACACTAGGCTATTTAGATTGCCTTTTAACGTTATTTTTCGAAAGTATTTCCGATCTTGTTGGACCTATTCTAGAAAACTAAGCCTACTCACATGCTGAAGGTACATGATCAGGCCGCCGCACATGGAAAATGAATATGACGTGCTCAGCGCCTCAACCATACAGGAAATTGCAAATACGAAATCGGACATCATGAGGTTTGCGACGAAGTAGTTGGTGACGTTATGAAAGGATTTCTCAATTCCGATGACCACTAGGACGACAAAAGAGAAAACGGCAGCGACGATCGATAGAGAGATCTGGATACGCCTGTACCACACCAAGAGATCATACATGGTCTGCTGCCACCAGGCTGGTACGTAGAGGTCATAGCCGCTGGTTGGAATGGTGCTGACATTTTCAAATGCAAAGTCGCTCCCGTCGCCATAATCGGCGATGAAAAGAGTGGTATTCATCTTTTCTGTTCTGCAGCTACAAGAAGTATGAGAAAAATCACTGCTCGCTCGATGTTTTTAGTCAATCTTTCTTTGCTTGTTTGTTTGCTTTGTTGTGTTTTTTGTTATTATTATGTTTAATGGATTGATAGCGAAAGTTCATTGAAGGGTAGATGGATTTATCTAGTCCTCGTGTGAGGGTGAATCGTCGTTTCGAGTCAATGTTGAGTTGCATATATGAATATGATTAAAATCACAATGGCATTACTTCTGGGTAGAAAGAGACTCAATCACACATCGACAAAATACACCTCCCCAGTGGCGCTAATGACGCAGACACGGGGGCACGTGTGATAGGATGTTCTGTCGTTTTGGGTGCACAATAATTATAGCTAACAATGGTACAAAAACCATCACATTTTCCATAAGACTATAACAGCTTGGGAAGAAGCATCAAGTAGTTTTATTTTAAATATTTTAATAATCCTACTGGAAGTAGAACTGCTACTGACAAAGGCAATTTATTTCCTTAGGCCATAAGGAAAATGTATTTTGAACAGTTCAGTTCAGTTCAGTTCAGTTTTTATTCCTTTAATTGATAAGCCTTCAAGAATGACTGACAGATCAATATCCCTTATTGATAACATATTGTAACGTGAGACCCCACTTAAAGTAGTTTGCTGCCACCACAATAATTTTATAGAGTTATTGAGCTCTGGACCGAAGTCAATTATGCTTCGGTAACAATAAACAAATTATCCCTCCGCCTAAACTTATTTTAAAGAGCCGAAGATTATCCAATCAGAAGAGCCGTAATGTTCATAACGCCGAACTCCACTGTCAGGCCTTGTCATTGGTAGATTCTCGCGCCAGCTGTGCTAATCGCTCTCAGGCCGCCAGAACCAAAGATCGTGAAATGAAGCTCCTGAATTCTGAAGGAAATTTGCTGTCTCTCCAGTGTTTAAAATTATCATCTATAATCAAATGACCCGGACTCTCATACAGGAAATAATGGTGAGTTTCCTCACTGAGTGATTTGCTACATTTAAATAAAATTTCATTTCTAACTCAGATTT